GCAATTGTGAATGGAATATTGATGATTAAAAATATTTTTATGATATTTGAAATCTTTTTTTACTTACTTTGTTATGTAAAGTTGTTACTTATGATATTTAAAATTACAAATTGAATTGTAGGTGAAGGAGTTGTGTGCATTACATGCGTTAAACAACTTGTTTCAAGAGCGTGGATTTAGCAAGCAAGAATTAGATCAAATTTGTTATAGTCTAAGTCCAGATGTGTGGATCAATCCTCATAAATCTCTACTAGGACTCGGCAATTATGATATTAATGTTATTATGGCTGCTCTCCAAAGAAGAGGACGCGAAGCTGTATGGTTCGACAAACGTAGGTTTGTATCATCACTGGTATCGTAAGAATATGACCATGTAAATTACTGATTATAAACATTTATTAATTATTCCTTCTGTCTTAGAGATCCAAAATGTCTTCGTTTAGACAACATCGAGGGTTTTATACTTAATGTCCCATCTGAATACAAACTAGGTTTTGTGCTACTTCCTTTGAAACGACGTCATTGGATCGCTCTGAAAAAGATACATGGTGCCTTTTATAATCTTGATTCAAAACTGGACTCGCCGCAATTAATAGGAAAGGTTATTAAATAATATAATTAAATAAAATTTGTTAAAAAGTATGAAGATATTTTCACATTTTGGAATATTAACTATATTTTTTCTTATATCAGGACAATGATTTACTCATATATCTAAAGGATCAGATAGACAGCAAGGAAAAGGAATTATTCCTTGTTGTTTCTAGAGAAATTGATGGCAATCAAGGATGGTTAATAGATACATGTGAAAATCAAGATGACAATAACATGGATCATGATTCCATTCGGTATATCGAGGATGGATACCCAGATATAGATTTGAAAAAGTCTGAGTCTAAAGAAATGAATGAAAACGAGGAATTCCTAGATAACAAAAATTCTAGATAATTGGAACCACATGCACCATGCTCCATTTAATTATTTATTCATTCCCTTGTTGCTAATTTAAGGAAGGGTAATTATAATTGTCGCAAGAAAAGACTTGGAATTATATAAGAACAGAGAGAGAGAGAGAGAGAGAGAGAATACACAGAAAAATAAAAGATAACGAGAATTACACATAATAATGTTTCACTGAGCATTTTTGCAATGTTTTCAATCGTATTTATGTGTTAACACAAATGTGATATTTTTATCTATTTATTTTTATTTTATTTGAGAAGAGTTATTCATATATATTGTGTATATTGCATACTATTTATGACATATGCGTAACGACGCATTTTAAGAAATAACATATGTAAGATATATATAGTTCTATTCAAAATGAAAATATATTGCTTTATTAAAAGTTAACGTATATAAAAAAAGAACTTGTATTTAAACAACAGCTACTTATATGTGTATATCGTGATATTATTTATATGCGATAATCATATCTCTGTCGTTTTAAAAAGCTTGTATAAATAAACACACTTGTAATATGAAATTGTTATGATACATTTTAGGTACAATCATAACTTTTACACAATAAATACGCTTGCAATTTCTTTTATAATTTAATTTTAATCCTGTATATATAAGATGATATTAAGAGTACACATTATTATTTATATTATAAGAGCGTAAAATTTATTTATATCACATGGCATATATTTAAGTTATGGCTTTAAGTAAGCATCAAATAATTAGAAATCATTTATTTTTATTATTGTACTGCAAAAATAAAGAGTCAATCAGCTAATGAACTTCTATACAAAATATACGTACATTTTATACAAGTAATGATATATAACACTGTTATAACATATGTTAGATCACCACTTTATTGCAAGTGCTGTATTCATTTTTTGTATTTCGTGATACTGTGTATTGAAATACGCGTTAACTTTGTCTGTATGCTCTCCTCCCAGCCAAGTTTTATATAAGTTCTGTACCACTTTATTTTCTTCGGGTTTGCTTAACGGAAGTTTACGATATATATTTTCTAATGTCGATGCAAGTTCTCGAGGTTGAACGTTCCCGTCGGGTCTTATTTGTGCTCCGCCGTTTAAGCAACCTAATAATAATAATTATATTAAATTTAGTTACTTGTGTTGCATGCTAAAACATTTTAAGCAAAGCAATAATTACCACACGGGCATGCCATAATTTCAACATAGTGGTAAACGCAATTGCGCTTTTTCATTTTCTGAACTATCTTCTGTATATTTCGGAATCCATTAATAATAGCGAACTTTAGTAACACCTGATCATTTCTTTTCAATTCTGCCTCTTGGAAATCAGGATTTCTAAGATTTTTGAATTCCACTGTGACATTGTCTTCATCAAAAAGATTCTTTGCTGCATAACGAAAAATGAAATCTGCATAACCACCTGATCCTGAACCACTATGACCCCATAACTTATTTTCAATTTTTTCATTGGAAGAACCGAATGATTTAATTTCACCTTCGTCTATTTCGTTCAATACTAAACCATCTTCACTTAGCATCTGTTCCAATTCAACTGAAAGACCAAAAGTTGATATAATTTATACTTAAATTTTAGTAACTCTAAATTTAATGCAGAAATATGAATGAATATACTTGATGTTATGACACAGTCTACGTCTCTCGTCTTTCTTTGTTGATTGTAAAAATCTTCTCTGGAAGCTTCCAATTTCTTATCATAGCAGGGCATTACAGTTACATGGTATATCCGTTCTGGCGACAGACTCATAACTTCAGCTAAGTGGTACTTTACTAATGATCCCATAATTTGTTGAGGTGATTTTGTGACACTTATATATGGCAATATAAAATTTCCATGAGTTTTCTCAGCATAACATACCCAACCTATTAGAAATAAGAATATATTATAAATCTTATAAATTGACTAATATCTGTTTTTTTTCATAAATAAATATTTTACCTGGACATGAAGAGGACAACATTGGTAATTGATTTTTTATGCCCTCTTTATCAGCTTTATAACGTTCGACGAACTCTTTGGCAGCTTCTAATAAGACAAAATCGTCAGCCACTGTCATATCGAATACTGCATCAGCTCCCAATCGATAGAAAAATCCTGCCAGTTTATGGAGAGTTTGCTCAGGGGTAAGTTCATAGTGTTGTGCCAGTGACAACACTGGTTGCACTGATAGACTTACTATTATATGTTTAAAATCTGTGCTTCCTACATTCTACACAAAAGCATAAATGATATTATAATATTTAAAACAACATTAAAAAAAATGAAATAAATTAAGAATCTTAATTTTGTATATCTCATTCAAAGACAAATATTGTAGGTATATAAATCTAAAGTTTAATTACATTTATAAAAGAATCAGTAATCAATACTGTATATCTCTATATATTGCTATAGATATTTAAATTCTTAACATTTTGTTTAATATTTAATTTATTTTTTACCTGTTGAGCTACTTTCTCTTGAAACACCTTAAGCAATTCTTCTCGACTTTGTTGAGTAACAAGCACGCTTTCAGCAGATGTAATACAACCACTGCATGCTAAACAGTCTGCAAGTGTGATCTCAACTTTTTGTAATTTTTCTGGTTGTCCAATCTGTATAATAAAGCAAACTTTTAAAGTTTTATGCTAGAATTATACTTTGGCAAAATGAATGTTGTAGACATTTACTTCATTGAGCGCCGAAAAGGCATTATCTGATTGTATTTTTATCTTTGCACCTGTTTTGCTTTTATTTGCCTGCATTTCTATAGGTTTGATGCATTCCTGTAACAAATGTAATTTAAAATAGCACATGGAAATTAGATCCAATCCAGAATGATATTGATCATTATACCTGCGATGGAGTGATGAAATCATCCAGATTTGTAATCTGCAATGCTCCGCTGAATCTTGATGTCATTTTTTCCAAATTTTACTTCTTTCCTAGATATTTTCTATAAACGTGCAATGTATATTAAAAAAACTTACACACAAAAAAGAATATTTATTTTCCTTTTATAAAGACAATGTTTTTCAATTAAATAAATACTTCTTATTTTTCAAGATTATTAAAACTGTCATACAATTGTAGATTATTTTTTATAAATTACAATTCATCGTAAAGATGAGTATAGCAAGAATAAACAAAGCTTCCCAGCGTTGGCTGATCAATATATTGAGATTGTCGAATTGAGATATTAACCTCTTCATCACTCTTGAAATATAAATGACTCATTAAATTTCAAAATTTCTGTAACTCTATATATAAATAAAGCGTCTGTATCGCAATTCGATTACATGCTAAAACTAAAAATAATGATAAAAAACATGCCTATATCCAAGAGATAAGAAATATTTCCATTGAGTGCAACGTAAATATCAATAAATGATGTCTTCGTTGATGGATAATTTGTGATGGTGACAAATGTGCTCCTCTGAGTCTGACTCACTGACCTGCGCCTGGGATACCGCAACCGTGTCACTGTATAGAGTACTCGTGTTAGCATTGTTAGAGGCGCGATTTGCTTATAAAATTGCAATAATGACCGAAGTGAGGAAGGACGACGTTGTAAAAATTCTTCACACTTATCCGTTTTGTAGAGTAAGTAAAATGTACGCCGCATTTTATTATAATTTGTAGTATAGCTTTCGCTGCATAAATAGATAAAAATGTGACGTTTGATCAATACGGGAAGCACAAGTATCGCAATTATTGAATCGACGCTTCTGATTTAAAATCAAAATTACGCGCATTTTATTTGATTTTGAATGAATATCAATTTGTTATTCAATTTGATTTCATAATACATAAGAATATTACAATCTAAAAATTATTTTAGATATTATTATGTATTACTTATAAAATTTATAAAAATTTGGAGAAATTATAATATTGTTATTACAAAAATTATTCCATTAGAACCAAATATATATATATATATATATATATGAGTTGGATAAATTACTGGAAATCTTTTAGTAATTTAGTAAATTTGGTAAATTCCTTTAATAATGTACAATTTTTTTAATGATATTTATTTACAGAAATGCGATATGTCCGACGAAATGAAGCAAGAGGCGATGGAATTATGCGTGACTGCAGCAGAAAAATACGCAGACAACTATGAGAGCGTATCTCGAATGATCAAGGAGACAATGGATAAAAAATTTGGTGCGTCGTGGCACACTGTTGTTGGAGAAGGCTACGGCTTTGAAATAACTTATCAACTGAAACATCTTCTGTATATGTACTGTGCCGGCAATTTGGCAATATGCATTTGGAAATCTGCATAGTGCAGTTCTACATCTATTATAATTTATTTTATGTATTTATGTGTTTATGTACATGCATATATATGTGCTTGAATGTACGTATAAAAGTACTTTCATATGAATGTGTGTGCAAAGCATATATATGTAAGATAAACTGTTACAAGAAAAGAGGAAAAATGTTTGTAATACCTCAATGTGGGTCCAACTGTGTGTTTAAGTCCAATACTTTATACTATCATATTTAAACATATTGGAAACACAAAATCAATAATGATAATCTGATTAAGATGTATCATATAAAATATAACAATTATAATATATAGAAATACTTCCTGGTACAAATTATATTTAAATTATTTATTTCTATTTAGAGAACGGTTTAATATATGGCAGTATGTGTATATATAAGAATATACAAGATTTAACATTAAAAGTACTTGTTTGTAAGAAGATAATAATACATAACGTATATTTAGAAAATTCATATATATGACAGTATTTAAAAATACATATTTATCTTTTGCATGTAAAATTTATCAAAAACCTGTAACTGTCCTCCATACAAGAACTGCTATGTTACCTCCAATAAACATGTATAATAGCGATTTCTCTTGATATGTAATTGCACATGCGTAAGCTTCCCCAACGACTACTTGGAATGGTGGGCCAAATTTTTTATCTAGATTATCTTTGATCATGCGAGCTGCATGTTCATAATTCTCTGAATATTTTTCCACAGCGGTGACACAGGTTTCTATGGCTTCCTGCTTCATATCCTCTGGCATATCACTGTGCTAAAGAAAATTTCTGCAGTAATTAAAATTGAGATACCCTAATTGACTTGTGATGTGTTACAAACAAAATCAATTTACCTTACATAATGGATATGTATGAACCATCAAAGTTGCAACTTCTTTCTTTATCTCCCCAGCCCACATTTTACAAAGATATCTCCTTAATTATTTTATTGTATACTGCATACAACAGTAAAAACTATATTATATTTTTAATATTCGATAGGATCCATATATTCAATATATATCTGGTTATTTATATATATATATATGACAAACAAATGAATATATGACACGTACACTACGTTATTGAAATTTTTTCAAGAAAGTGAAATTGAGAATTGATAATTTTATATACATATATGCGTGTATATATATTGAAACTATAATATATGTATATTACATATGTAGCTTAATTTATAATAATTATTATAATATATATACACGCACGAGTTTATTGATTTTTAAAATTTATATATAATTGCGCCAAAAAATAAATAACTTTGATTAAAATGTATTAATTATTATAATATATGTAAATAATAAAACTCGATAGCCTAATAATAATATTAATCGGAAATTAATTAATTTTAAGATCTTATAAACAAGAAAATAGTCTTAAAATGTATGGAAATTACATATTAATTTTTTAGAAATTGCATATTTTTTTTCTCTCACAAATCGAAAGGTTATGACGTCTCTCTTCTCGATGGGTTTCGGATCGTACTAAAATCGCGGAATTTTTAATGCGTTCCAAAACTCATGCAAAAACAGCGCTGCAATTTTTCCGCGAATACTTATCGACGTTTGACGTAATTCAAGAAAGTTCAGTGGTACTCGAAAATAAATTGGTATTATCTGATATTATCAAAGCTAGAGGATCAAGGGCAACATTTAGGAGAAACAGTGAAAGAAAAGAAGGAAAAAGAATAGGAAAAATCCGTTTCCGCCATTTGCGCTCCGTTTGTAACTTTGCGTCGGTGATCGGTGTGCGATAGTGTGAGTTTCGCCGTTCGCGTCCTCAAGGCTCAACGCTCCTTTCGCCGGTGGATCCGTTAACGTCATATACGTTTCTCACGCTTCTTTACTCCGTCATCTCCCTCGCACGCGCAACCGTGCAATCGTGCATTGCCCAACATTGCCGAGTGTTCCCTTTTGCATTATATATGACTGCAATAGAAAGCACGAGTGCGAAGATTGTTCCCGACACGACGGTGTCACTAACGTCTGCGATACGTTAACATGTCTGCCCTTCAAAAGTCAGTTTTGAAATCCAGATTACCACCATCGGCCATCAATTTCTCTGCTTTGAACTCCAGGTTTGTATTTATCTGTGAAATCGTATGGAAGTGGGATTTTTAATAAGTTACTGTATAAGGAAGTTGTTACAAAATCATATACGAAATGTCTTTTTTTTTTTTAAGACTTAGTAAGTCGAGGGGAGCCCAGCGAAGAAGAGATTACGAACCAGTACGATGGGATCCGTACTTTGATCATTCCAAGGATGTGTCAGTGGGACAGAACACTTTTCATGTTTATATCAAGGGCACTGAGGGACCATTATTAGTTTTATTGCATGGTGGTGGTTATAGTGGTTTAACATGGGCAGAACTCACAGTGAGTACCGTTTGCAGTTGCTAATAACACGCACTAAGAGAGAGATTAACACACATTATTAATTTTAGAAATCGATTATGACAATGGTATTGTGTAGAGTCATGGCGATTGATCTTAGGGGTCATGGGGATACTTACACCACAGATGATGATGACTTGTCTGCAGATACTTTAGCATCGTGAGTAAAATGTACATTTATTTTTTTTTTAATTTTGCTTGTATTTTTTTGTCGTAATAACGTTGATTGTATTTTTTAAATCCGTGCATTTTAACCTTCGAGTAAGAATAAAGAATGATAAATTTGTTAAAAACTTTCTATGAATGTGTACACACATACACATAGTTGTATATATCTATATTAGTTTATAAAAATTTTATTTATTTTTTATATATTTGATATATAAATCATTGTGCATAAAATCTTTATGAAATCTTTTTTGCATTGTAATAAATTGTATTTTTTTTTTATCAGAGATGTTGCAGCTGTTATAGATGTAATTGAGCATGATGCTCCAATAATTCTTGTCGGTCATAGCATGGGTGGTGCGGTAGCTGTAAGAGCAGCTCCATTGATTTCAAATTTATATGGATTAGGAGTTATAGATGTTGTAGAAGGTACGGCAATGGATGCATTAGCTTCTATGCAGAGTTTCTTGAGATCTCGGCCATCTAGTTTTAGCACCATATCTCAGGCTATAGAGTGGTGGTTAGTATTCTCTTATGCTTTTAATACATTCATCATTATTGTAACAAATATGTTCTTTAAATGATTTATTTACATTTTACTTGAAAATAATATAATTCTATTGTACATATATAAATTTAATTCTCTTATAATTTAGTTCTTCAGATCATGTTAATATATTAGTATACATATACAAAAGTTCCATCAAATTAATCTTTAATTGATGTTTTCAGCGTTCGTAGTGGACAAATTCGGAATATACAATCGGCAAAAGTTTCGGTTCCTGGACAGATAAAGAAGTTAGTGAGTTCTTAAGGATATTTAGGTTTTTTGTAATACTTTCATATTGATATTAAAATAAATCGAGTCATACAACACACGTGCTATTTCAGCATTGAAACTAGCAAATTAGCAACTCATGATATTGACTCATTGCCAACCCAATACAACAAGTGTGAATCTAATCCAGAGCCAGTTATACCGCGAGATGATATTATCCAAGAGGAAGAGTCATCCAATATGCCACCACCTGCGTCTTCTGCTATTACTACTAACAGAAAATATGTCTGGAGAATAGATTTGGCAAAAACGGAGCAGCATTGGTTCGGCTGGTTTAAGGGATTATCGACGGCATTCTTGAATGTTCCTGCACCAAAAATGTTATTGTTAGCAGGAGTCGATAGATTAGATCGCGAACTCACTGTAGGACAAATGCAAGGTATATAATTTTCAGTGCTGTCATCAGTACACGCGGATGCTGCGATATAAGTTATTAAGCGATTTAAGTATTTTTCAATAAAATAGTTACTTATTTTTTTCCGAAAAAATAGGTAAATTCCAAATGCAAGTATTGCCCGCTTGTGGGCATGCTGTTCACGAAGATGTCCCGGATAAGGTAGCGGAAGCTATTGCTACGTTTATGGTTAGGCACAAGTTTGCAGAGCCAGCGTCGGATTTTCCACGGTAAGCTAAAGTGTATTTTATCTTCGCATTTACAAGTTCATCGATAGTGTAAGATTCTTTTTGGAAAGATAAAATGTGCATATCTTTTATATTTTTGACTTTACGATTTCTCTTTCTAATTTTGTGAAAGATATATAATTTGTTCATTGTTTCAGGACTTTTCCGGCTTGTTAAGAAAAAAATTAAACAATTGTAATGTAAACATATGGAATAATGTCATGTTTTCTTTTAATTAGTTGATATAATTTTATTTATTTCAAGAGATAATAACCGCCAAATATAGAAACATAATCATATATGTAAATAAAAACATTTATCTTGATGAGAAAAATAAATTTGTTCTTATATATGTATATTCTTCTTTTATCAGTTTTTATTAAGTTTATTAAACCATGATTTTTACAAAGTTATCAGTATAATTTGGCACAAACATTGTAATTAGTTAAAGTATTTATCTGAAATATATTTATTTTTTCAAATTTCTCACCAGCACTCTTGATTTATATTACTCATTTCTAACAAAAAAAATGGTTTTACAATTTATTATGATTATTATTATTATTATTATTATACGGAGAAATATAGACATTTACGAAAAATGTTACTTTTATGAAAGAAACCGTGTTTAGATTTATATATTTTATTGAAAATGTTTGTACTTATATTTTAGATTAATACGATGGATATACAAATTGCCACACATTGTCAATAGCAAAATTATTCGCTACATTGAAAATTTATATAAAATCGAAGTATTATGTACAAATAAATGCTAAATATATAATTTGGTGGTTACAATGATTGGAATTTCCTCAGTACAGTACGAAATTGTGTAAAAATCCTATAAAAGTTACTATATGCTAAGAAGAAATATAATACTTATTTAAATATGAAATTATCTAAAATTGTTTCAGAAAAATGACAGTTTGATTAATTAACATGCATGCAATATCACAAGAGAGCAAATTCTGTTATATTTCTGAAACTTAAATCATATATAGTTACAAATATAAATGACATAATAGCAAGTCAAATTACTGATTATTTAGTAAAAATGATCTATATGGTATTAGTTAAATTTTTTACAACAACACAAGGTCCTGCACGGCCAGCCTTAAGAGGAGCAACCTTCAAACATAAAATTTACAAAACACATTTAAAAATTATTTTTGTACTGTATCCAATTACAGGAATAGTTTATACACTCACCGGTTCCCATTCGTTGAGATGTGGATCGTAGGCTTCCACTAGTGTGAGATATTGCTGACCGTCGTATCCTCCTATGGCCATAAGTCGGTCACCTAATACGCACACACCGACCGCATCTCGAGGAACACTCATTGGCGCAACCATAGTCCATGTATCAGTTTTAGGATCATACCTATATCGTTACATTATACATAACTTGAAAATTTTAATATGTGACGTAATAGTGGCTTCTCACCTTTCTACACAGTCGAATCTACTAGCATTCGGATTACTAGCTGGAGCATCGTGACCACCGAGTGCATAAAGACAACCATTTACTACTCCTACGCCTACACCGCCCCGCCTCTTCGACATAGGCGCACATGGTGTCCACTTGTTTGTATGCGGATCATAGCATTCTACAGTATTTAAGCAGGAACTGATATCTCTTCCTCCTACGGCATATAATCTAAAACATAAAAAATTGTATTAAAATCATTAAAAATTCAATATTAAACTTTTTTAAATCGATAAAATATTCCATATGAAAACATACTAAAATTTATGTGAAAACGGTTGAAAACGGATATTATATATAAATTTGATAATTTATCTGTAGACTTACTTATCATTTAACACAGCCACGCCGACTGTAGACCTTTGTATGGACATAGGGCATATCGAACTCCACTGACGCGTTGCCGGATCCCACCTCTCGACTGCATCAAGAAAACTCCAACCATCGTGGCCACCAACAGCATATAAAGGTCCACCTAATACTGCTACTCCTAAGAAAAAATCAATATATTTATCAGGTTTTTATTACGAATAAATGAAATTGCGTATTAACTTTGCAAATTCGGCATGTACCTAATCCGTGACGATGGACGTTCATAGGTGGTAGAGTACTCCACGCAAGAGTGGAGAAATCGAAACATTCTACCGTGTTCAGCGTTTTTAAACCGTCTCTACCACCCGCGACAATCAATTTTTTATCGACTATCACCGCACCAAATTGCAATCTTCTACTACTCATGGCAGCTAAAGATCTCCAGGCATTATCGCGCAATGAAAACGCATCTATAGACGTTGCACCTAGAAATTATATTGCAAATTGTTTCGCTTAGAAAAATTAAAATAGTGTGATACTGTATTGATGTTTTCTTTATATTAATCGCAACCAATATTAAATAATTAATTTTGCATATAATAAATTACCTTTATTGGCATCCATCCCTCCAACAGCTAATAATGTACCCACAGTAGCTTTTCTGGGTTTCGTTCTACCTGTTTGAAGTAAAGGTCTTCGCTCAGGTAGCAAATGGTACTTTAATGCTTCCATTACTAATTCCTGGGCCATTCTTTGGTCTTTGAACATTTCGTTACTCTCAATATTATCAGCTATAAACTGTTTTAATTTATTAGTTCATCTAATGCACAAGTTCTGTCAAGTAAAAAAATTGCTGTCACAGTGAACTTACCGCGGGTGATAGCAATGGTAATTTGACTAAACCTAATAATTCACTGGCATCTTTGCTTCTGTTTTCTGGATCGTGTTCCAGCCAAGTCACTAGAGCCTGAAATAATAATAATAGAGACTCTATATTATTTTCTTTGTACTTCTATTTAGATATATTCTAGTTAATATATATGATCAATAGTATAAAAAATTTTAACCATATATTCTTTTTTTTAACATTTTATATTATTAAATTTTTTCATTCAACATGTAATTTATTTTGCATTTATTTACATTACAAAAATAATTTATATACAACATGTAGTTCTTACATAAAAGATAGTTTCTTCTGAGGGAACATTAAGATCCTCTGATTCAAGTAATTTCGCAACTTCGTTGGCAGATAGCAGTAAGAATTCTTGATTTTTTGTAACTTCCATAAAATGTTTTGTAGTGTATGCGTGTGCATGTTCAAATAATTCCGAACAACCCTGCGTATCGGCAAACATTCGTATACCCAGGCAGTTGCTTGGATGGAGCTGTTTGACAAGAAACTGACAGCATGCTTTAATAACTGGATTCAATTGTAATAAACACGCTGTTGCAAGAAGAGTCTCTACACTATCCTCTTGTAATTCTATGCAACCTGTGAATATACAAAAATATGTCAGTAAAAATTAACAAGAACAATTTGAAAAATATCTGCAAATCAGATTACCTGTATAACAATAAAGAACTAAAGCCCATAACGCATCTCCATCAACATCCATTAATTCTATTTCATTTTGTGCCGATTCTCGTAAAGAGCTTGTGAACATGGCAGCAAAATATTCAGAGCCAGCACTGAGGACTAATCGATGAGCTGGGACACGTTTATTTCCTAAAGAAAGGATAAATCAGACAAAAAAAAACATGAAAAATATGGAATGCTTCGGATTATCAAAGAATATTTTTAATATATATGCTATATATGTTATAAAGAATGTATCTTCCTATCTCTCTTCAATTTTTACTACTTATGTTAGAAATGTTAAATAACAATAGCAAATTATCCAGCAAAAAAGGTCCTAATAATAATTTATAATAATAATTAATAAAAAGAATTTTTCTACGAATCGTAATTATAAATAAAAATATACATCAAATTGTACATAAAAATATACATTAATAATTCTCGTTTATTAATTAAAACGAATGATTAATCATCATCTGAGTCATAATTCTAATTTACAGTTGACACATCGACAGGTGCATTGTTGTCAAAACAAAGTGTTCGGGGGGAGGGGGGGGGGGGG